TGGGGGAGCAGGGGCTAGGCCATGAGGGACAGGAAGGAGGGGGCACCCTTGCCAAGGGATAGCGAGAAAGTGGCACTCACGGGCCCCCAGGGATGTGCAGCTGGAAGGAAACTTGACTCAACCCAGCCCAGGAGACAGCCTGGCTGAGGCCGAGGCCAAGGCCAAGGCTGCTAGAGGAAACGACAGGGGATCTCAGAACCACAGGAGGGGAGGTGGAGGGAGCCAGGGTCCGGGGAAGGGCTCGGGGTCAGCTGACAACTGCCCGAGGCCACCTCACCTGGGTTCTCGTGACTGGCCATCTGCTGGTCCTCGGAATCCAGTGGCCCCGGAGACCAGGCCTCTTCCCGCAGCTCCATGTGTGGGTCCCTGTTAGAAGAGGATGAGACGGGAGGACAGAGTTTACAGGACGGCAGACGGACAGAGGGCCCATGAGGGTAGGTACGCATCAGCTCCGATCAGTGCTTGAGCTCACAAGTGGCCACACAGACCCACAGACAGGTGGAAGGACAGTGGATGTCTGAGGGACTATGGAGTACTGGCCCCTTTCTCCCCCATAGCAAGGGACCGGCCTGAAGCCACACATGATCTGGGGGAAGCTTGCAGGCTACAGCCACCCCCTGCAGCGGCCTACCACAGTGACAGCTCCAACACGTGCAGACATGCAGGCCAGTGCTGCCGCATGCTCGTGTGTGGAGGCAGGAAGGAGGTCACGGAGGGCCGGGTGGATCTCCAAGGAGGAGGTACCACAGACAGCAGGGTCAACGGGGACAAAGGCCCAAGGCAGAATCAGGCCAGCCATGCAGCTGGGGGTGCCACAGATGTGGGCAGTCTCCTGTGGGACCTCACAGGCAAAGTGGGGATGGAGGAGTCATTTGAAATGCGGGCCTCTTTGAAATGGGCACCGTCACACTTGCCTTACAGATGGTAAAATGGTCTGAGAAGCAGCAGAACACCTAGACACCGGCAGCCATGGCGGGGCAGCTAAATCACTAGCACAGGGGATGCTGGGCTCAGAGGCACAGAGATCCCAGGAGAGTTGCGGTGTTGGGACATGGTGTCAGGACACTGCCCTGCTAGCTCACTCAGCCCAGGGCCCACAGAGGGAGGAAGGCACCTGCCTGCAGCAGTCTTTCTCCAGGTGTGTGGGGGCACCACCTTCTCAGACATACCTCCCAGCCCCCCATGTCGCCTCCCCAGCCTGCCCTGAGGCCCACTGGATGCCCACCACCTGCAACATGGCAGGCCAGGGGCAGTGAGATCTGCATTCCAGGTGACGGGCACAATCGCAAGATAGCCCCTGACCAATGACCCCACTCCTCCAGCTCACCTGAGGGGAAAACCTAAACCTCAGAAAATTCTTCTTACAGGAAAAGTGGAAAGAACCCATCAGCCCTGTGTGTGTGTAAGGGGGGGGGGCGGGGGGAGTAATAAGACTAAATAAGACTAAAAATTTGTACAGGGCCCTCTGACTACACCATAAACATTAAAAAAAAGAACAGGAAGAAAGCCAAGCACTATGGTGGTAGAAGACATGGGATGGCAGAGACCACTCCTTTGCCTTCTTCTCTTCCAAACATGTCTGCCAAGTGGAACAACTGGTGTGTAAGGCAGTAAGAGAGGGACTTCCCGGCCCCAGCCTTCAGCTCAGGCCCGCCCGCCCCAGGGAACCTGCAGGGCTCTGGGGCAGTCCTGGGCCAGGCAGCTGGGGGCTCCTTCTGTCTGCTCAAAGCAAGGTGTCCACACCTGCCTGGGGCCACGGCGGCATTCCCATGCATTCAGCAGGTGCTTACTGACAGCCAGGAGCCCCACGGCCCAGGGCACGGCTGACAGGGAACCAATGGAGAAAGAAACGGGAGACTGCGCACAGGAATAGGTGCACGGTTTCCATGGTGGGAGGAGCCAGGAAGGCAGTGAGGCAGGAATGGAGCAGGAGGGCTGGTCCTGAGAGGACACCAGCCCAAATCAGGCTGCTCTGCCGTTTATCTTGAGTTCAAGGAGGCAGCAGGTACAAGGATGTTCCATTTCCCCTTTCTTGCTGAAGCAGGAGATGAAACCCCCACATGAAGTTGCTTCCTGAACAGGAGGAAGAAACAGGCTTATCTCCCCACTCAGGGAGCCGAGGCCAGGGGAGAAATCTGCACGAACAGAGCTGTTCAAGAATCCCTTCTCCTCCCCTAGTCTCCAAGGTACGGCAGTTACCTGCCACTCTGTCACCTGGAGTACAAGCATTCAGGCCTGCTCACTTCTGTGAGTCATGTTCATGAAAATACAATTCCTAGGCTTCTCTGTTAACCTGAGTGGATCCTGACCAGAAACTGTGAGAGGCCAGAGGCCAACCCCACCCCACTACAGACTGCTGGAGGCGGCCTCTGGGCCAGACCGCAGCCCAAAGGGAATGCGTGGGCGTCGGCACACGGGCCACCCACCCGGACCCTGCCCTCCAGCTACCAATGGATTCTGTGCACGCGCTGGGCCTCTGCACACAGGGCCAGCAGGCAGCCGCAGAGCCTGAGTGTGGGGACCAGGTGGTGTGACTGCGGGGTCCTTTCGTGAGAGTGCAGAAGAGCATCCAGCAAAGCTCACCCAGGTCCTTTGTCTCCCACTCACTCGCGCAGATGCTGAGGCCTCTGGTCCTGATCTTGGGGGGGCTTTGGGTCCTACCAGGATCTCAGAGTTGGGGGGCTGCAGCCCCTTGCCATCTAGGGGGTGAGAGCAGACAGGAAGCACCTGTCTTCTGGCAGCTCCACCCTGGGCGGCAGAGCCCACAGCTCCCTAAAGGACATGGTGCCCAGCATGCCTGGACCTGGGCCAGTCCAGATGTGGACTCACACAACTTCTGAGACACTCCACCTCTCAGCTGGCAGCTCAAAACCCCCAGTCGTACTGACACCATGCAGCCACGTCCTCACCCTGTAGGACCCGCACTGGCCGGCCCACCCCAGCAATCCAATTAGCACGGAGCTGACAGGGCCCGCGGGTATTAAGCTGTAGACAAATTATTGTTATTGCTGTTATTAGACCCACCCACCTCCTCTGGATGCCTGCCCACCAATTACCCAGCCCTTTCTTCTGCTGCCAAGCCCGCCTCTGGCTTCTCCTGCAGCCAGCTCCCCCAGCTTCTCCATATCAGGAAAGAACTACCCCTCATCCTGCCCCCAGTCTGCTCTTTGCCCCCTCCTGTCTCTGCCCAGGCCTTTTTGTCAAGCGCCCAGTCGCTGCTTCTCTCCCTCACCCATCTCTCCGCTTTCCTTCATCTCCTCCCCTTACCTCCCAGCCAGTCCTTACCCCCTGTACCCTCCAACCTTTCAGTCACCAAATGCAGTAGCTACTTCTCAGCCTTGACACTCCGTCCCCTGCAGTCATGTGCAGCATGCTCCCTTCCTCCTCCTCCCACCCTCCCCACGCCTACAGCCCATTCCCCACACCACAGACTCATCTTCGGAAGTCACAGTTCAAACAAGCCAATTAAAAACAGACCCAGGATGGAACTAGCCATTCCCCCCAAAGAACACACACAAAGGCTGACAGGCACACGACAAGATGCTTCATGTCACTGACCTCAGGGACGCCCATGCTCATGAAAAGCACAGTGAGGTCCCACTGTACACCACCGTGGTAGACAGAAAAGCAGAAAGCAGCACATGTGGGCAAGGACGTGGAGAAACTGCTGGTGGAAATGTGAAAGGGGGCAGCTGAAACAGGTGGCTCCTCAGAAGGCTAAACAGAGCCACCACGTGACCAGCTGCTCTGCTTCTGGGTACATGCCCAATAGATGTGAAAACATGTCTATCAAACACTGTACACATATGCTCACAGAAACACAAGGTGCAGCAGCCAAAAGCTGGAGCCACCCAAACGCCCATCCGCAGGTGAACGGACGTATAAACTGTGGTCCATCCACACACCGGAATGTCACAGCCACGAAGGAAGCACTGAGGTATGCTGGTCACGAGTGGACCTCGCAACATACCCAGCTAAAGTAACCAGACACAGACCACACAGGTGTGAATCTGTGTACATGAAGTGTCCAGAACACGCATGTGCACAGAACACAGCTCAGTGGTTCCTGGGGTGGAGAGGGGTACAGTCTCTTTTCAGGATGATGAAAATGTCCTAAAAGCAGCGTGGTGATAGTTTGACAGTTACACCTATCTGTAATTACATTAGATACCACTAAATGTACTTTAAATGGATAGACTGTACAGTAAGGGGATTATATCTCAGGAACACTGTTATTTTTTAAAAGGCAGCTCAGTTCACATCACTCCCCTGCCTAAAGATCCCCACTGTAGAGTCCAAAATCCAAAGTCTTCCCCAGGCCCCATAGTCCCACCTGGCTGTCACCCCGGCCGTCCACTGCCTACCGCCCACTGCCCACCTCCTCTCCCTAGAAAGCCTCGTCCTAGTCCTCCACCTGCCTGGGCTAGTCTCACAGCCCAGGAAGACTAGGCTGTCTCACCTTTCAAGGGGCCGCTGAAATGTCACCGGCCAGGCCACCCAGGCCCTGCCCCATGTCATAGTGCAGGGCTGACTTCCTTCTTAGCATCCACTGCTGTCTAGAACCGTCTTTCTCATCTCCTTCCTTAGGGTCTGGCCTCCTGCCCACACAAGCTCCTTGCGGGCCAGCGGGCTGCGGCTCAACACCTGACTCCTCGGGGGCTGCCTCGGTCCCTCAGACCCTCTTCAGCCTAGCTGGCCACTCCTGGAGTGATCCCCAAGTGGTCCCACAGGGCTGCAGACAAGCCCCTCCACCCCCCTAACCAGCTGTCTCCACTCTCCATTTCCATGAGCGGCTTCCCCCAACTCCAGGCCTGAAACCCAACCTGCCCCCTCCCTCCCTGTGGGCCATCCCCTGGGGGGGGGCAGGCTGGGGAGGAGTATCTCTATGACACCATGGGGATCTTATGCCCCCTTTTTTGGGGGGGTCTCTTTGGAACTTTTTCTGGTTCTCCCACAAGTCTATTTAGATTTTCCCACCTCATCTGGAGTCAGCAGGTAGGTTCTATCCCGGAGACCGTGACCTGCGCCTCACTCGGGTTTTCCAGTGTATTCAGACAGAGTTGAGCATCACAGTCCCTTAGGGTCCTGCCCCATTTCCTTCTCTCTCGCTCTCCCTCTTCCTTAATTGCATGCCTCCCGGAAGTCTATTTCACTGCTTTATTTCTCCCATTCCCCACTTCTAGACCACCACAGCGGCTTCCCACCTGGCCTCCCAGGACTCACACACTTGCTGCCAGTCACCCTCCCCACATCCTCAGGTTCAGCACCAGCCCCCTCAAGCTCCCCACCTTTCAGTCCTTCTCAGCCCTCCCCAAGAGCCCAGGCCAGAAAATGAGCTAGGCCAGGGTAGTGTGGCCTGTCACCACTCCCCACTTTCTCCATGAGAGAAAGAGAAGTTTCTAGAATTCCTAGAACCTTGACCTACTGTTATGGCGGCAGGCCCACCTGGGATTGGCAGGGAGCAGGGCAGCCACTGCCCCACCCTGGCCACCTGCTGCCATCTGGTGTTCCCAGGCCTTCAGAAAGGTCTGTGAATGCTCCTGATTCTTAAATGTTGGTAATTGTTTAAACAAACAAAAATACTCTTAGCCGCCCCCTAACCCCAAATAAAATAAAAAAGATCTGACATACACCTATGGGCCATCTTACAGCTGTCACCCCTTAACTGGGCCAAAGGGCCAGACACCCCATCCTCTGGGTGGGTGTGACTCTCCCTCCCTGGACTTTCTTGCAGCTATTTCCCACCTGGCCCACCTCCTTCCTGTAGATTTGCTGCGAGAGCCCAGCGAAAACAGCACCTCCCCCAAGAAGCCTTCCCAGATGTCTCCCTTCCCTCAGCTCAAGTGTCCTCGCTTCTCAAATAGCAGAAGGCATTCATCAAGCACAGACTACATGGCAGACTCTGAGCACAGTCTGCTGTAGGCACAAAATCCTAATCCCACGACCACACAGAGCGACAGGACAACCTCTCCAGGCAGGCTGCAGGGTTAGACTCGGCCCCCCACTCACCAGTCACATGAGATGATGCATGTGAGGTGCTCAATGGAGAAGCCAGGCGCCTAGTAAATACCTAGTGCCGTTGTCACATTGACTGGAATGGTCAGAGCTCAGACAAACTCAAGGGCCAACCCAACATCACAGAGCCAGAGCAGCATTGTGAGGATGAACTGGGTCAGCTGAAGGCGGCTTCTCTCCCTTCCCTCTCTTGGGACACTGGCACTTGCTCCCTGTAACGCCCACTGCTACAGCTGAGTCCTACATGCCGCAGGAGGGGTCCCCCCACCCCCATCCCAGCAGACTTCATGCTCTGGGAGGGCAGGGACTAGCTCCCAGCACAGACACCCACACAGCAACCCCAGGAATCCAGGACTCTGAATGGCCTGAGTTTCAAGGCCGGGACCATGCCAGACATCCCTTTGGGTCCCCTGCATCATCCATTCCGAGGCCATATGGGACTCCCCATTTAGAACAAGACAGAAATGTGTTCTATGAGACCAAAGGCCAGGCAGACAGAACAGGGAAACCCCATGGCTTTCTGTGCTCCTACAATAGGGCCGCTGACACTGGCAGTGTAACAGTCTCAACTCGCCTTCCTGCCACCTGTGAAAGTCACACCTGAAATGAGGGGCTGGGGCTGGGAGTCCCCTGAGCCAGCCAGTGGCCTTGTGCTCCACTGGAGGGGGAGCCCAGAGTCCCCAGCCCAATGACTGACACCTACAAGGCCTGAGAACAGCCTGTCTTCCCAGACCCCAACCCTGGCCAAAAGAAATTAAGTCAACAGAGATGGCAGCGTTATGGTCAAGGGTCAAGATCTGGAATCACACACAGGCCCATGCTCCAATGCTGCTGTGGGGTATGGGGCTCAGGCCCAACCACCTAAATGTGGGGACCACCTCCATCCCGAGGGCTTAGGACTCAGGCACCAGGCACAGGCAGGCACCTGCCAAGTGCTCAGCAAGCGTGGTCACATATGCAGTCTGCCTCCACCAGGCGCCCTCGGGCAACACCAGGGAGGAATGAGCCAGGTTAGGGGCAGGGTGATGCGCCTGCGCGCAGGTTCCTGAAAGCTGAGTGCCCAGTGGTGGTAACCAACAACCCTGGACAGCCAGGCAGCCGCTGCCGGCCCAGAGCTCACAGTCATCCTCCCTGGAGTCCAGGGTCTTTTTGGCCAATTCCTCTTTGTCCTTCGAGACTCGCTACCTCCCCTGGACAACCTCCCCGACCCAGAGGGCCCCCCTGGGCTTCTGTACCTCCCAGGAGCTATTCTGCAACTCCAACCCCTCTGCCACATACATATCCGTATGTCTCCCCACAGGCCTCTGAGCAGCTCCAGGACAGCAACTGCTGCCCAGCGTCACCCAGATCTGGGTCTGGCCCATGGGAACCTCAAGAAATGTGTGCTGACTGACCCTCCTGTCCTACCCTACAGCAAGACAAGGTGATCTAGGGTGGATTGTGCTTCCCACTTTAGGGGACGAAGAGGAAACTGAGCCTGGGAAAGGGGAAGTGACAGGTCCAAGGTCACAGGACTGGAGGACAGGAAGCTGAGGGCAGCCTAGGAAAGACTGCCTGGCTCCAGAGTCCTTTGCACACACTCTACACCCACCTCTCTGGCGCTCAAAGGAAAAGATTAAGAGCCTTCCTACCAAGATCAATACTGTTATCATCCCTGTTTAATCCAGGAGGAAGCCGAGGTTGAAGCTCCCTATCTAAGGTCACAATGGTATGAAAAACATAGCTGAAGTTTGAATGCAGATCTGTCTGATCCCAGAGCTCTTGGCTAACAGGCTGCAGTGCTATCTATCCATAGGCCAGGCATTGTCATTCTTCAGCACCACCAGGGTGGGGGTGGGGGGTAGGTCTGGAAGGCTTCCAGGAGGAAAAGGGCGAAGACATAAGATAACACAAGGAGGAACCTGATCTGAATGTTCTCTGGGGCTAAGGAGGGCTGAAGGGACTGTAGCAGAGGCAGCAGGTGAATGCCAGCTGCATTTAGCAAAGAGGCTTATAGTCTTAGGAAGAAGATAAGCCAGGATCAACAGCAACTGTGCTTCCAGGAGCCAGGCCAGATCTACCTCCCAGCTGGATCCTCGGCACTACCCAACTGGGGGCCTGGCACCAAGAAACACAGGAAAACACACAGGCCAAGTCACTCCCTTCCTAAAGCTCTGACAGCCCCTCTCAACTGGGATGGGCCGGGTGCCTTCCTCAGGCTCCCACAGGCCCTGGGCCTATCCATCAGGGCTCTGGTCACAAGGTGGGGAATTCTGTTTCCAGGTGTGTGTCTCTGCTGGCCTGCTCCTGGCCCTGTCCTTGGTGCCCAGCACTGAAGAGCCTGCGTCCACGTTCGCTGCTGGCTCTTGCGCCGGTGGGTCACTTTTCTGTCTGATCACATCATCCTGAACTTGCAGGACCCCACGTGTCCGACGGGCACTCATCTCCACGAACTGGTGTGTCCACCTTTGTGGCCAAGAGTGGGGGGACACGGAGCGCACGGCTCGGCGCCTAGGAGGCCTTGGGGGTCGCCAACAGGCCCAGCCACCCTCTTCATCCTGCACCGCCGGGCCACAAGGGGCCTGACCTTGGCCCAGTCGCTTCCTTCCCGGCGCACGCGCTTCCTGCCCCCGCCCGCGCCGGAGAATGAATGAGCCTCCGCCAGCCGGAATACCCGTAATTACCGCCAGGATCAAAGGCCGCACGCGGCCCGCCCAGGGCAGCAACGGACCCCAGCAGCTTTGGGAATGGGAAGCAGTTGGGGACAGGTTGGGGCCTGGACTGGTCCCCCAGGGCCGCCGCTTCCGGTCAGGCCGTTTCAACCCGCGCGGCCCCCTCCCCCACGGAGCCTCAACTTCCCCTCGGGGTCGCCACCACTTCCGGTCACGACCGGCGGGGAAAGCTGGAGGGACGCGGCGGCTCCACCCGGAGCGGAGCTCCAGGGCAGAGCCCTCGGCGCGGCGCACGCGCGCTCCACTTGGACGCGCGCCCTTCCCG